TGAACATTTATTATTCTTATGATACATTACTTCATAACACGACCAAGATGCTGAATTTAGTGGTTATTTATAAAAGTGATAAATACATACATAAAAATGAGATAAGTAAATCAACTATTCCGTATTGCACACAGCAAATATAGTTTGGAGTAAACTACATTATCTATTATTATGATACTATAGGTTAACTTTAATAGTTATTTATGTACCAAGCCAGTAAAGTGATTCTTTATCGAACGAGTCTGAGATTATGAGCCGAGCGAGCGAAGCGAGCGAGGCGAGTAACAGGCGAGTTCGATAAAGATCCTTTACTGACGTGGTGCATACAAATTTTTATCGCCAACCTTAAAAATTTATAATTAAAAATAATGGAAATGTTATGACTTATCACATTTTATTATGACAGTAAACGTATAATAACAATGAGTCAAAAGATATCTACTTATTACTTGTTATATTAAATGTAATTATAAAAATTGAGTCCTGAAGTCGAAGGAGTTTGAAGTGAAAATGTTTGAGGATTAGCCGTGCTAATAATTTCATTAGGTGAATCTTGAGTAAAATTATCATTGGTAACAAATACGTTGTCAGTTTGACTTTCACCTAAAATTGTCTCTGCGATTTTCTTTTTATTGAGCACAGATTCCTCAACATAGGACTCATCAGAACTTTTCTCGTTGGAACCGTGACAGTGACAGACAGAATGTCATACAGTCATGGTTATGTTGACAATTATGAGCGGCAGGTAAAGTGCTTGATTTTTACAGTAAAATAAAGTGTTTGTTTACTTCCGAAAATCGCTATGGTAATGCATGTCTCTATTGCCGGTTGGCGATAAAAAATATTTAAATACCAATTTTTGGTAGTCATATTTTTCTACACTTACCGAATTTATCTAAGTGGAGCAACCATACATAAATTTATTGAACATTTTAAGAATGTCTACTCGTGATTATTATTAATTAAAAATTGTAGTACACGAGTCAAGGCGAATATTAATTATTTTTATATGGATAAACTAATTAGAAAAAAAAATAACCTTATTTTTATTATTTTATTCTCTGTATAATGTAAGCTATTTATTTCTAATTTCATACTTAAATATTTGTACTCTTTAAACAGAATAACTTTCCTCAAGAGTAGCGACCAAATATCTTTTGCCACTTTCCAAATCAACATCATCTGCGTATCAAAATAAGCACCACGAGAATCTGAATAACTTTATATTTTAACTTTATGGTAAAATAAGCAGCTAACGTACCTAAGGTTATGTCACATTTTTGTTAAAAACTTACAAAATCACCAAAACAACCTACAAAAAAAAAAAAAATTCCCTGAGTAAAGCTCTTTAATTTAGTGTGGTACTTCTCATAGCATGGCATAGCAAGTTTCGATGAATCCCTTTCTTATATCCAGATCAAGAGAGTAGTTAGGAAGATTGAGGGAGATATAGATACTGGTATCTAACAGTTAGAGATCTTACGTGGGAAATTTTTCGAATTAAATTTGACAACTATCGTAAATGTTTGAAGCATTTTGTAAATGTTTTATAGATTTTGTTTGATTAAATTCTGTGCTGTTCAGTTCATGCAAAAACGGTTCGGTTTTATTTTGAAATCTTTTATGCGTCTTGAATAAGTATTGTAAATTAATCATTTCCAAAAATTGTCAGAAGAAGAACGTTATTTAATTACTGCATTTTCATTTAATATTGTTTCTTTCTTAAAAATGACCCGTGCTTTAGAAATTTTTTTAAACATTTAAAACTATGACATTATTTTTTAAAATCACTTTTATTACTAGGAAAATGTATGAGGTATCTAAAAATAGCGGTTCATTGTTTTTTGCCAATGAAGATGTCCAGATTAAACATCATCCTCGTGCATTAATCTCAGAAGTAATGTCGTTTCTACTTATTAGGAAAGAAAGGCGGAGAATTACTGTACTTAGGATTACAGACTACAAAATTCGATTTCAATTTTCTACCTTCAGCTTGACCTTTATATTTACCTCAACAATGTTTGATTAAGTATTTTTTTACTACTTATCTCAGCATTACTTAAGAGTGCAATGGAAGGTGGTTTAACGAGGTTTGTAAGTTGGAATAAGTAATTTCAGCTACATGGTTGCGTTTGATTGAGAAGCAATCAAAGGTTAATTTGGTAGCTTTCTTAAAAACAGATTCCATAACATTTTCGAAAATCAATAAATGAAACATGATCAGGTTATTTCTTATGACAACATATAAGATGTTAACAAGAATATGCCAAAGTATGAATTATAGCAAACTAGTTCGAAGTGTTTTGGTATAGTCTTAAGGAACACTATTATAACATGGTGATTTTTTGGATTTTGTTACTGGTTTTTATTTTAGTGCACATTTTTCAAAATTGTTCCTTTATCCAAAATATGATGAATTTTTTTTTAACTCACCTCTTACAGAAAAAACTAGAAACTATTATCAAAGAAATGGTAACGGAAAAATTATAATAGGTACTCTTTCCAACCGTCTCTTGATACTTAAATCGATTTTTTTTCTGTTCATCTTTTTTTGGTAAATTGTATTTAACGAGTAATTTTCCGGTGTTAATATTTCGAATTATACACTTATACTTATTTATCTTTAAAGTTTTTCGACGTTGCATGAAATGTCAATTTAATTGCAGTAAGGAAGTGACACAACATATCTTTAAGTGCAATTTTCATTACCAATGTTAATAAATTGTAAAAGTTGAAATTTGTAGGAAAAGTCAAGTCTTGGAAAAGTACATTATACCTTCAGTCCCCATATTTTAGACTAAAAGTTGTCTTTTTGTTGTAAGACAATTTCTAGTGCTAGTGAAAGCAGTGGCGGAACTGAGGGGGGGGCAGGGTGGGCCATGGCCCAACCAAAAAGTTTGCGGCCCACCCTGGTGCCCACCTCAATTTTTCCATGAATACCGGTGTAAATTTTTAACTTGTTTTGTAATAAAATCTCGAAAATATTTTTTTAGTCCCCGCAAATGAAACCGGTGCCCACAGATGATATTTTCACGCTCTAGACACTCAATAGCTATTATAAAATTGTCGAATTGACATATTATGGCGCCGGCGACACGCAACTTGTTATATATACCGACTAGTCTAAACAAATGCAGTGGTTGAATAGTCACGTCGGCTTATTTTTATTATTCTTAAGATAAAATACGATTCCACACGTGTACGTACATTGCTTGGGATTTAAAAATCAGTTTCTTTCGGGATTCAGAACCGCGAAGATCTTAAAAATGAAACGTAGCATAACTGACTATTTTTCGATACCATCAGTGAAAGCTCAAAAACGGGAGTGCCCAGGGCCTTCAACTTCAAAAGTTATACTAAACGAAATACAGATTGAAGATGAGGATAAGGAACGGCATGAAACTGAAGAGGACGTAACTCTTTTGAGTGATGTGGAAATCGATGAAGGGGACGAAGAAGATGATTTGGAATCTGAAGACGAAGTCGATGTATCAGAACCAACATTACCGGCGCCTTTACCATCTACGACTTTCAGGGCACCGGGACCAGCTGATATTTCACAACTAGTGTCTGATGGACCTTGTTAACTACATTTAAAATTTTTCAAAAAAACGAAATTCGGTGACCGTTTCCGACAATTTAAAGACGAGTGGTACAATTGTTGGCAGTGGTTGGAGTATAGTGCTTTAATCGATTCGGCATTTTGTTTTTGTTGCAGACATTTTTCTGTGCGCAGTGATGACAATACCGTGTTTGTGAATGTAGGTTTTAAAAACTGGAAACGAGCTTTGGAAAAAGACGCAGGTTTTAAAAGACATGAAGCAAGTTTAGAACATAAAAGCAATCTAGTAAAATGGATTTCATTCAAACAGTTACAACAGTCAAAATCTTCAAATGTAAGTGTAGCATCGCTAGTAGATGAAGCCCATTTGGCATTAGTTAAAGAAAACAGAACGTACATAGGAATAATCGTGGATATTTTACTTTACACAGCTTCGCAAGGAATAGCCCAACGTGGGCATCGCGAAAATGAAACTAGCGTTAACAGAGGGAATTTTTTGGAATTATTAAATTTGCTTTCGAAATACAACGACCTTGTTAAAAAGAAAATTTCTGGCGAGGAAAACATCAAAACAGCAAAATATACAAGCCCAAAAATTCAAAATGAAATTTTCCAGATATTGTATAAAATGATTTTAAAGCAAATTTCATCCGAAGTCGAAAGAACGTTATGTTTTGCAGTTATGTGCGATGAAACGAAAGACATTAGTAAAGTAGAACAAATATCGGTTGTCATACGTTATTATCTAGATGGTGTCATTTATGAAAGATTTTTGGGATATCATGCCGCAAGCGATTTGGATGCAGCGTCTCTATTTAATTACATAAAAAACGTACTTACTCGGTGCAATATTGATATTCAAAAATGTGTTGCCCAAACTTATGATGGGGCAAGTGTGATGAGTGGCCGATTAAATGGAGTCCAAAAACTTTTTAGAGATGAAGTTAATCAAGCCATTTATGTCCACTGTTATAATCATAGATTAAACTTGGTGTTAGTGGACGTTTGTAAAAACTATATTAATGGTCATCGTTTCTTTAATCTACTGGACAACTTATACGTTTTCATATCAGGGTCGGCTGTTCATGCAAAATTTTTAAAAATTCAGATAGACATAAAACCACAACAAAAACCAACTGAATTAAAACATACTTGCTATACACGATGGACTGCACAAGTATTCGTATGCTTTGCAGTGAAGAAAGCTTTTCCAGAAATATTAATTTTACTAAATACTTTGATTAATGAACAGAGTGATAGATCATCTGAAGCTGTGGGGTTGTTGCATCAAATAAATTTTGAGTGCGTTTTCAACATTTGTATGTACACGAAAATTCTATCGTTATGTAAAGGTGTTAGCGACTAGCTCCAACAAGTGACATCTGACATTGGCCATGCTAATAGCCTTGTGTGTTCATTAATTGACACTTTTAAAACAATGAGAGAAGAGGATTTCTCTGAATTTTCATCAATATATGCTGAAACAGAAAAAATGTGTCAAGAAAATAACATAGACTTAGCAAGCAATGAAGAAATAAGGAAAAAATCTAGAAGAAAAATTCCAAAAAAATTTGAAAAGTACATTGTTGACCAAACGATACAAGACATACAATTAAATTCAAAAGATGACTTTAGGATCCATATATTTTTCCCAGCTATCGATCTCATAATTTCTGAACTCGAAAATCGTTTTGGCCGGACGAAACACATTATTGCTGCTGTTGCAGCTTTACATCCTAGCAATACTTTATTTTTAAATTTTGACGCCTTAACTCCTTTAGCCACTTTTTATCGAAGTAATTTGGATTTGTTGAAATCAGAACTTATGATACTTCCAACGGCGTTGACAAGGTATGAAAATGAAAAAAACGTGAAAATCACGACAATAATGGAACTTTTAGACATGTTAAAAATTTATAAAATTGCATTTATTGAAACTTACAAACTAGCGGTTATTAGTGCTACAATTCCAGTATCCAGTGCTGCATGTGAACGTACTTTTTCCACTTTAAAACGTTTAAAAACATGTGTGCGTAATTCTATGACCAATGAAAGACTAATTCATCTTGCTGTGATCAACGTCGAATCTGCCGTGGCAAAATCTCTAAACATCGAAGATATTGTTAAAGAATTCGATGCTGCTCACAACAATCGTCGAATATTACTTCATTAGGGGTAAGTCACTTTTTGAATTTCTATGCAGTTATACATATAACATAGCAATGCGTGCCCAATTAAGATTTTGAGGGCCCAACCGTTGGCCCACCCTAGAATTTCATGCTAGTTCCGCCACTGAGTGAAAGGATTATTGAGACTGTCAGAGCAGGTCAGGTTAGGTAAGGTCAAGTCGTATAGGGAATTTTGCTTTGATTAAAGATACTTATTTAAAGTGTTGAATATTATTGATCATCATGAATAATTTCTACTTGGTATAATTTGAATCCGAGTCATTGCAATTAAATGAACAACTAAAAGGTTTCCAATTTTTAAATGAAATTAGCAAATCACTATTCGTTATATACTTAATATATTTGAAACTAAATAAATTTGTTTTCTTCAAAAAAAAAAAAAATTGAAATTTTGAAACTACAGCAGATCTAACCTGCAAATGTCTACATGAAAAAGGCTTTGAAAAATGTACTTAATATAGATACTTAATACTTTACTTATTTGGTTGCTCTTCTACTTTAGTAGTGTAGAGGGTTTTGAGTTACGCCTGTGTTCTTCTTTATCGAGTCTTCCTACTTTTACTACACTTGCATACATCACTACTCGCACCTTTTATCAGTTATCACATATCCGATGGACCCAAATATTTGGCCAGCCGGAATATACAACACTCATTATTTTCACAAAAGCATCTCCAAGAAGGAAACAATTTAATGAGCTTATCAAAATCTGACCAAATAAGTTCAACCTCATAGGTTTTTAACTACCGAACATTGGCAATTCCAAAACCAGTTAAACAATATTATACTTAACTATATAAACTATCTGCTAGTTTTTGTAGAGATAACAACAAACATGATGACGTTGCGATCTTTGTTAAATCAGGCATTGTTCAAACTAGCTCTGTTATAAACATTTTTGGGGGTTGTACCGTGGAATTCACACAATATGACTATAAATCTATATTACTATTAATAGTTACATACAGACCTCATAATTTTGATATTTTTTTAAATGTTTTAAATGATGTTTTAGATCCATTTTATAAAGTGACAAAAATATTATTAGAACAGGTAATTTCAGTGTTGACCTCCTTACAAATACAAAACAAAAGAAAAAATCTCAGTCTTACTAAACACTTTTGATACTGGAACAGTAATACAAGAAGCCACTCGAATTTCACTGTACACAGCAACTAGTGTTGCCAACATTTGTGTTGGGGTTTCTGTGAATAATTATAACTCATTTACTCGGAATTTATGTCACCCGAATTACAGGGCACAGCAAATTGACCTAACACTCACTAATCTTGGTAAGATAACTCCTACTTTTACACTAGTTAGAAATTTCAATATTGTTGATATCACAAATTTACCAGAACATCAAAAACTAAAAGAATGAACAATAGCATTCAATGAAAAAAATACAAAAATTAATTTCATAATAATTTTGTGATTTTACTTAGCAAATACATATTTTGAAATATCTTTTCCGACTAAACAGGTGAGCATTGAGAGAACTGCACAACCAAACATTTGGAATTGTGCACTGGAGCCATTCTGATTTTTATATAAATTAATTCATAACATACATAACTGTCTAGTTTTACTTAGTTATGATAACACTAGTTTACAAATTTAAACTTTTTTTCATATCCAAAAATAAAAAAAATATTTTTTGCTTCCAAATTACTTACTGACAACAAATCCAAAAACGGATAATCTGTATCACGTCAGGTTTTTTCATAAATCCAAAATAATGAACTTTGCTTTTACCTTCACGTTAGTGTTAGATTGATTTATGTTAATGCACCATTGTCGCATATAAAATGTCTTCGAGATCGTGCAAAGTAAGTGCAAATCAGTTTTGTTACGTTTGTAGTAAAATTATAGTACCTAAAGCGGGAAGACCTGTTCAAATATGCTTAAAAAGAAGGTATCAAGGTTTTTGGGACGAAAATGTGTTACTGTTGGTCTATTATAACGGAAATTGACAGTACTGTCAATAAAACAAACGCTAGTGTTAATCATTTGTAATTTTCAGTCATAATGTTTATAATATATACTGGGTGTTACTTTTATTTGATACAACCCCTGTAACTTCTTTATTCTTAAAGATAAACCTGTATTTCTTTGAGCAAATTTGTATCATTGTAAAAGATCTTTGTGAAGCCAACCTCACATTTTTATTATCACATCCCGTAGAAAAATCAAAAGCAACCAATTATTCTAAAAACAGTACTTGGAAAATTTTAAATAAAATATTGATGACAATCTAGTAGCTTGAAAAATTGACACTCATGTTACTTATTTACGTAAATGATCTTTTAAAATGATACAAATTTGCTTCAAGAACTATATGTTCATATATATTTAAAAATAAAAAAGTTACAAGAGTTGTTTAAAAGAAAAGAAATACGGGGTATGTTTATATAAATATTTCAAAAACCTGACGTGATGGATTTTTTCTGCTTTCAGATTTGAATTTCTCGAACCCAAATTCTTTAGATTCAACTATTTTTCTCTTTGGATATAAAACCTTGTAAACTAGTGTAATTTTCAAGTACCGAGCTATGGAGTTCGTTAATTTGCTGGAATTTCCTTGAGACAGCGTCAGCATTCGCCACTTCTAAATATATTTTGTTTTTACCGCAGTGTACAAAACAGAGTAGATATTTTTGCTTGTTTTACGTACTACTCGTATTTTTTAGAAAAGTGGCCAAATAGAATGAGTACCACAAGTTGTTTTATGAAAAGAGTGTAATATACTATTTTTTCTACTTTGCATTGCAAATAAATTTCAAAAATATATTGTAAAAAAATATTTTCGATTAGGGATTTTCGACAGTCGATTGGTAACAAAATCAACATTTTCGTGATCATTTAACACAAAAGGGAGCAAATAGATGGAAATATTCAATTGGGCTAGTTATTATTAACGATGCTCACTGATATTTGATTTCTACTTTCGACCACCTTTCGACTGCCCGCATAATAACATTGCCAACAGAATCAAGGAATAAGTTACTGTTTTGCGTGCTACAAAATTAAATGTCACTATTGTGAAACGCATGTGCGTTTTATAATGAAAATATGTATTATTGACGCAAAGTAGGAAAGAATATTTATGTTTATTGGGTGATAATAAATATTATTATTACTATTCTGAAACTCCAAGAGCTGTTATCTCCAAAAGTGGGCCAAACGAATTCTGGTTGAACTGAAAGGAGGCAGTCTTCCAGATAAGCGTTAATATAGAAATCTACGAATTTTGGCATTATGAAGTCTATACATATACAACGTTCTGTCACGCCTTTAAAAATTTCGAGCACTTAAAAGTGAACTTGCAAGTGAATACGTGTAGTTTAGCATCAGAAATCTTCATTTTTAAATTAAAAGTAAAGTCGCGTCTAATATATGTATTTAAATTGTTACACAATACAAGATTTTAAAAAAATTTTAATTGAAACATCGTTTGTATCTGTACCTAGAACATTTTTTTTAATTATAAGAGTTATCTCTTGTCTTTATACTTATTTGTACTTGTGTACCTTAATTTGGCGTAACTTTGTTTCATTGGTGTAATGATACTAAAGCAATAAAATGATGATTATTATTATTATTATTATTTCATCCCACATTTTTCTCCCTCTTCCACTCTTTTTAACTTTATCCCATACTCCTTTTGCTATTCTTTCACCTGCCATTCTGGTCATCCCCACTATTAAACCTATTTTCCGCTTCAAATTCCTATGTATTCCCGTTGTTGTTCTTATCATCTTTCGAGTTTTACTGTATATATGTACTTTGTACTCCATATTTATCCCTGTACACTGTGAAGAACACCTGTTTTACGTCTATTGCACTCAATCAATATTTCCATCTTCTTTTTGTAGTATTTTCACACATCTCTCTCACGGTAAAAATCCATTCACTTGTATTTCTATCATTTTTGAATCCGGTTTGTGTATCCTCAAGCGTTACGTCAATTAGATCTCTTAACCCTTTCTCCAACATTATTTCGATCACTTTACTTACAACACTTAACAAGGAAATTCCCTTCTTATACAATGGCATGTACTCGTATGATCAATTGATCACTGATATTTCCTACTCTTTTGAATATTCCTTAAAACCTATTCCTTAAATTATAGTCATCTTGAGTAAATCTTTTAAGGAAAATTTTGTCGTTTAAAACAGTCTGTTGAATGTTAAACAAAACAGGAACATGTGTTTGTTATCTACATAGTAAAGAATTTCTACTCAAACCAGTAAGCTTAAAAATCTATTACATTATGAAATCAGCAGGTTAAGTAAATATATCTAGAACCCAGCTACCATAGAGACTATTAACGTAATTTGGTTGTGACCCCATTCAGTCAACATCCCCGGGTTACCATATAATTTTCCAAATTCACTTTAAGCCTACTGCACAAATATTTTTGAGTTTTTAAAATACTAAAAAGAAATTCCATTACTTCAGTAGATATGTCTTACACTGGCAATGTTTCATTTCTACTGGTAAGTATTTTCTATTGATTGATTTGAGAACATTGCCAACAGCGAAGGAGATTTTACTTCAGCACTGCATATGATGTATCATTAGAGTAATACATGCATATTTATTTATACTTATGGCATTAATGTTATATTTAGTTCTTTACGATTTCGTTTCTTCGCGCTCGATTGAAACACTTTAGAGCTATTTTCTGCAATCAGCCGGGGCGTGACGAATGAAAAGGAAGTTGGTGCTATTAGCCGAACGGATGTAACAGACAGGCTATTGAGGTAGGTCACTTAATCAGATGAATAAACAATAGTGCAATTACGACCAAAAGTAAATCTACTTTTTGCAAGCAATGTGGCACTCAATGCCGTCGACGCATATCCGACAGTTATCGGATAAATCTCGGTCTGAAATTAATTTCTTATTATAATATTATTTCATGTAAAAGTGATTGGTCCTGACACTCGCTGGATTCCTCCAAGCTTTCCGAAGATTATA